TTTCCCTATTTGGTGGCTGCTGACCATTGGACAGTTCTCTAGAATAATTCTTTTTTTAAACCGAGTTTATTTGGGGAAGCAGGCAAACAAGGCTCCGTTAATGTTCAGCTGGAGACAACAGGCACATCTCTAGCTCAGCAGAAGTTGTCATGTGGGGATAAACCAAATATGCTCAACTAAATAAACAGAAGTAGCTGATGGAGGAAGTCTGAGCGCAGCATCATGCGATTGAGGTTTGTTCTAACTAAAATGTGAACTTTAGTAATGAGATCTTATAGGAGATGCTATGTGCTCCCAAGTGATACTGCATTTAGGGAGTTCGTCCTATTTTTCCTGCCCTTTTATTGCCCGTGGAGGTGGGATCAAAGTACCTGGACAGTTCTCCTGCTCCTCTCCAGAAGCATCAAACACAAATGTGGGTCTTGTGCCAATGGATACACTGCGTTGTAATTCCACTTTTTCTCTTTAAAGCTGTATTTTTTTTATAGTTAATAATCATACTTTTAATGGAGTTCTTGCTCTCGTATCCAAGAGCTTCCTTTTTAATGAACGCACGCTCTTACCTCTCTTGCAGGATTGAATTCCAGAACAAGTTCTACACTGGCACAGGATTCAAGTTTCTCCCTTTCTCCTTTGATACCATCCGTGAGGGCAGGTTTGACGACTAAAGATCCCTCCGCTCGACCAGAGTTAGACGTCGTGTGTTTATGGCTAGCTCTCTCCCATGTGTCTGAGTTGCATGTAATCCTCCCATAGTGAAAATAACTTATTGCAGCACACTCGAGTGTTACCGTGGCGTTTCAGAGCCAAGAGCTTTGACATTCTCGGGTAATGAGTGACACTGGATCAAAAAAAACCTTTTCGTTCCTCAAGTTTACCACTGAAGATACTAAGTGCATGAAGTGTCTGAGTTTGGTGTGTAATAGTGTACTTCTCGTGTTGTGAATTCCCTGGCAAGCTTATCAGGGCAGTGTGAGAGAAATGCAGCTCTGGCTGAGCGGGCATACCAGCACAAGGAGAAAAGGTGTAACAACTTCAGCTTGCACAAAGCTTGCTGCTCAGTAAAAGGTTCTTTTGAGAAAGTTTTACATCTGGATCCTATGTGTCTCTGCCTCTGATTAAACAAATGATGAGCAGTGGGCAGTTGACCATCCAGGGCACGCTTCTCCTGCCTCTAGGGCTTCCACGTGTGCCATGTTTTAATCTGACAAAAACCAAGGGATTCAGCTCTTTGAAGTCTGGCTGTGGCTTGAGGAGCCATATGAAGGGGCAGGACTCGGCCTCAGCTAAGTGTGTGGTGGCTCTGTTTCCTCTAGTGATGGGGAAACACCTCGTCCTTCCAGAAAAGGCTGTTCCTGTCCTCCCTGGAGAAGAGCTGCTCCTTTAACTGCGCACCTGCACGCTCATATCCCAGGCAGAGCCCTCTGCCCAGCAGCGAGGGCCCATTCACCTCCTGTTTCTGGAGGCGGTGGTGAGAACAGGGGGCTTGGGCACAGAGGGCTTTGCTGCCTTGTGCTGGCCTGGGGCAAGATGGAGAAGGGACGAACTGTCATCTTGGCTACTGACTGCTGGCAGTGGAACTTCTTGGGTTTCTTGTTTAAAAACAAAGCCTCGAGGCTGCAGAGTCCTAGAGGCACATCCGGATAATGCACGTGCAGGCTTGGCATGAGTGGGGGCAGCTCTTGCGAAGGTGGAGGTACCAGTGACACGTCATCACGTTTGTTCGGGGTCTAAGGAGCCTTTTAAGGGAGAACAGAGGCTGAGTCTTGCCATAGGAGTCCCATGGCAGTGGAGTCTGGGTGGGATTTCCCCAGGGTAGCCGTTGCTTTTTCTCCTGTGCAAGATGTGAATAATTTCTTGCCCTCCTCGACTCGATGTAGCTGTAGGAGCAGTGGAGGGGTGTGTTAGTGTTGTGTGTAACTGTCCTGTTTAATTGTCTCAGTGGATCAGAAGTATTTGTGTATGGATTAGAACAATAACGAGAATCATTGTAACCTGGAATTGAAGAGGAAACGCTATGTAGTGCAGGGCTGTTTAAAATGATGTGAGAAAGGTGTGCGTGCACTGCACACCACAAGGAGTGCGTGCACGGAGCACGGGGATCCTTGTGCTGCGCGTGGGCAGCTTCTGGGTAACCACTGTGTTTACAGGTGGACGTGACTGTATGTTTACAATGATGTCTACAGAAAGAAAGATGAAATCAAAATGTGTCTGCATGAGGAGCAGTGACACCAGTCCTGCTTGCCCAGGTAGAATGTGTTGCTGGCAGTCACTGTGTAAATTAAACTAACTGCACAACAATTACTGGGGCCTCTTTTCTGTTTCCCCGCACTCTCCGAAGGGTGTTCCAGGCAGTGCCCCTTCCCTGTCCGACACTGGGCAGAGCCCCAAAAGCCGCCCGGGGGAGCTGGGACCTTCAGCTTTCCTGCCCTGGGATCCTGTCGCCTCGCTGGCCAGGACGGTGAGGTGGGCAGAGCTGGTTTGTAAAACGAGACCGGCGTGACCATGCCTTGGCTGAAATGTCTCTGTGCTTATCGAGCCCTGGCTGACATCCTGAGCAAAGGCTGGTTGGGGCTGAGCAGGGGCCGCTTTGTCCTGGAGCCTCCAGATAAACCCATTAACTGAGTGAAACGAGCAGTTACGCAGGAAGAAAACTCAGGCTTGATTAAACCCGAGAGTTGTGGATGTCTTTTCACAGGGGCTGGGCAAACACGCTCTGCGTGCTCAGGGTGCAGCCCTGCTCCTGGCCCCCCAGGCCACAGGGCATCCCCCCCTCCGTGGGGACCCGCTCCCCACCCGGGAGGGACGTGTTTACTCAGGCCTTTCCTGCAGGGCTTGGAGCTGCCTGAGGGGGTTTTTCCGCATGTGCGGGAGGAGCGGAAGGGAGGTTTCTGTGGGGGTTTGGCAATTGTGTTTTTGAAGCTGTTTGCAGCCTGGTGTGTTTCCCATCTCCTCCTGGGAGGGTGAGGAGCTGGTCTGTGCTGCCCCTGCAGCTGGAGGATGCCTGTCCCTTGTCCTCCTGCGCCCCTCGGATGAGGAGACGGATCCCCCGCTGCTGCTGTGCCAGCTGTGTCCAGGGGATGCTCTCTCCTTTCACCCCTTCCCCTGCTCTCTTGCACCACTCCCGTGTGCAATCACAGTATTTCTGCCCGTTTCCATGGCTCCACTTGGCTGTTTTCATGGCTCTGGGGCCACACGGGCAGCCCTCGCCGCTGGCTGGCAGGGCTGGGCCCCCTCCGTGGGCTGTGGTGGGGACCCCCCAGCCCTGACCTCGTCCTTCCCTTCTGCATGAAAGGAGGTGGCAGGGCCATCCCTCACAGCAAGGCTCTGTCGTGGCCATTGC